GGTTAAACTTATGGGGCTGTCACGTGATGAACGAATGACTCGGAAAAACCCGAAGACTCGAACCAGGGCTGTGTTCAGCCCCGACAAAAATGGTGCAAAACGTTTTTTTAAACGGAAACGGTGGTGCATTGAACACTCTGTTCTGATGACGTGAGAGTTGCAACTATGGCAGCTGAGAAGGCCATTCTTTGTGTTCTTTTTGAAGAATTTTCGGAGCCTGATGAAATCGGTATAAATACGTGTTTAATACTGCAAAATACGCTTGATGTTACAGTCACTGCCCTTGCCCTCCAGAATAAAAGAGAACATCCCAATCGAGTGAAGGGATTTGTGGAAACTGTGGTTCCTAATTATTGTGATCCAACATTTGCCTCGCATTTCAGGATGAAAAGACAAACATTTCAGGTGAAGGATAATCCACTTCTTACCTCCGAGGCTGTGTTATGATCTATATGACCTTATTATTTTTATTGTGAGTATTAGGCTTATCATTGTTGCTGATCACTGTTGTTGTGCTATGTTATTATAATATTTATCATTATATAATCAGAGGAGTATAGTAAAGTTTATGAAAGTGTCTAGCACACCTTCCTAAGGAAAGGATATGGACCAGAAGACATTGCAATTACTAAATGATATTTAGACAGACTTAAAGAAGTTCCAGATCTATACTTGTGCTCTTATTATTTCAGTTATTTTGCCTTTAATGTAAACAAACATGGGCAAACAATATACTTGCTCTTGTGTATTTATTTTGATGTTAATTACATTGTGTGAGCTGTCTCTTTAATACCGCGTGGTTTATATATACATTGCTGCTGATTGGGCTGACATTTTTGACACACCCACCAAACAAGAGAAAACGTATCTCAAACCCCGTTGCATACCATTGCACACCGTTTCCAGGAAACATGTCGTTCAAACCGGAAACCGTAGCAAAACGTTGCCCATCGGTTTGAGCTTGAACTTGCCCCAGGATAACATGAGTGCAAGGGAATCACATGACCAGACAGGGACCATGACTAAACTCCCAAATAAAAGACATGAGAGCAATGAACATGAAACCCAGACAAAACCCAAACCCCACGTTACAATTTATCCATGACAGGCCTAAACCACCAAAGATACCAGCACAAAAACACATATAATAATTTAATTATAGACAAAAGTGATCCCAATGTGATCCCAAAAGTGATCCGCCAAAAAAATAAAAATAAAATAAACTTCCAGCCCCAGAAGGAAAATAGTGTATAAATCATATTTCATTTTATAAAGCTAAATATTTTCTTTAATAAAAATGTTTTTAAACATTTGACCAATTTTGTTATTATGTAAAGTTAGATACAGGAAATACCCGACACCTCCCATCCTCCCTGAATTTTTTTTTTACAATTAGACCACTGCTAATATCTGAATAATAATATCTGATAATGTGCCCTATACTACCATAAGGGGGATGCAAACCAGTCTTAAAATATCACACTGGAGGAACAATGCAAAAACTGTTATTAGACCTCATTTCCAAATAAGTCTATATGAGACGCCATACACACTCTGAAGGGAAGTGCACAGTTTCACACCAAACCACAGACAGGCATCACTCTCATCTTCAGCGTGACATTTTCAGTCATGCCAAGACCCATTTGATGTAACATTTCTTATTGATATAAAAATCTTATTTTCAGTATTGAGGACTTATTATTTGAAACTGTTCTGATGTTCAAACTGCTGAAGAAAATGATTCACCTGATTTTTTTCCAGTTGTACTTGTGGTGTCTAGTTGGTAAGTTATAAATGTTTTATGGTGTCAGTACGTACAGAAACAATGAGAAGATTTTGCATGCACTGTTAATGTTGTATAATGATGACTGTGAATCAGTCGATGTCATTAACAACTCAAGTAAGCAAAACAAATGTTTAACTTTATCTTATCTTATCTTACTAAAATTGTTAACTTATTTTGATCATGCATTGAAATTCATGTCAAGGGGTTGTTGCAATTATTTTTTTTAAATAATTAAAAAATTTGTTTACAACTATTATTTCTGTTTGTGCTCCAGGTGTGTCTGGAGTGAATGCAGTGAAGTCAGTGTCAGTGACGGAGGGAGATTCAGTCACTCTACACATACAGAGAGACGATGAGATCGAGTGGCGGTTTGGACAAAACAACATTCTCTTAGCTGAAATCAAACAGAACAATAAGAGCACATTTTATGATGGTAGTGCTGGTGGGAGATTCAGAGGCAGACTGAAGCTGGATCAGACTGGATCTCTGAGCATCACAAACACCAGCACCACAGACTCTGGAGATTATAAAGTAACCAGCACTAAAACAAGGATTTTACTCAGCACATTCAGTCTTAGTGTCTATGGTGAGTATAAGCTGTTTGCTATATATTCATCCTTTAACATGTCAATCAATGTCAAAATTAGTCTGATAATGATAATATAGATTAATTTGTGCAGAAACAAATGTCAGCTGCTCTTTGTAGCATATTGCTAATTAACCAGATGAACTATCAATGTATACAAATCAAACTCTCTAAGACTTCCAACAGATTCTTTTCCATGCATCATTTTAATGTAGGCCTACACATGTATATTACGCACAAATAAGACAATTCACTGTTTTAAAGTCAGAATATGTAAGATTTTTTTATTAAAATATGCAAAAACCACTAGCGTTTCGCTTCGACGGCTTTCAGCCTCCCCCTGCTTCATTCTACTACGTTAATAAATCATTAGCTCATCCATGAACATGATTTCTGCCTGGGTCCCGTCGGACTGCATCGGCTGTGGGGATGAAGACGACAACTCCCACGATTCCATACTCGGCGTCATCAAACTACGCCTTTGCTTCTTTGTTTGTTTTGAATATGCGCCCTCTAGCGGCGAAAAATTACATATTGTGCCTTTAATTGTCTGCACTTGAGCTGCACACCCTTCACACTCATTTCTAAGATTTCTCAACCTTTACATTGTCCCAATTCGCCTACTTATACTATGCCCTAAAAGTATATACTCATTTTGTGAATAAAATTGCACACTTTTAAGCAGAAAAATCATCGCTGCACAGCTACATCCTATCGCTAGCAGTCGCTCATGCCGATGGAAGTCGCTGCATACATGTAAAAAAAAAAAATTTAATTTAAAAAATGTTTTCCAGGTCATCTGCCTGTTCCTGTCTTTACGAGAGACTCTCCACAGTGTTCATCATCATCAGAAAGGTCATCAAAATATCTGTTGCTGTGTTCAGTGTTCAATGTAAGTCGTGTGACTCTCTCCTGGTACAAAGGAAACAGTTTATTGTCCAGCATCAGTGTGTCTGATCTCAGCATCAGTCTCTCTCTACCTCTGGAGGTGGAATATCAGGATAAAAACACCTACAGCTGTGTGCTCAACAATCCCATCAGCAACCAGACCACACATCTGGACATCACTCAAATCTGTTCAGGTACTATAGCTGTGATATTAGCGATGATTTAGCCCAGTGTTTCCCAACCTTTTTTTACACGGCACCCCTGCTCTCGACAGACGACACCCCAGGGTGCCGCGGCACCCCGGTTGGGAAACACTGATTTAGCCAATCTATGGTCCATTAATCATGCTGTGATTGATTTTCAGTGTTTCCACAATAAAACAATGCAAACATTGTACTCTCCTACTGACCTCAGACACGAATGTCCCTTGCTGTATTTCCCCCAAACTACATGAATCGTATTTTTGGTTTTCTAACGTTCTTCTAATTCTCTCATAAGACTGTTGCAGTTGTGGTTCTGCTGAGGCTGGGATCCGATTTGTCCTCTCTGCTCTGGTGGGCGTGGCCGGGGTGACCATTCTGGCCATTCTGGTTCATGGATTCAGAACCAGAAATCTTCATCAGAAGAAGAGCGTGCAGACAAGAGCAACGGACACCGATCCATCAGATGTAGATGTCCTTGAATGACTGGAGCCATTGTCTGACAAGAAATCCTTTAAGAAAATATCATTTCAATCCGGTGGAAATATATACGTTTGGAAGGAAAAAAAGCTATTTTCTGTGCGAGACTTCCGATTCATTAGCCGATTTAGGTAAATAACTAACCGATTATCAAGATGCAATAAACCAGTCTGTTTATGAATACAATTTTAAAACGGTTAGAAATATACAAGTTTGTAATAACAAGCAGCATAACGGAGTGTTTTTGTACAGCTAAAATAACTAGGCTAAGCGAATTACACTTGCAGCCTCGCACTTCGCACATTCACATTCGTACAAAGCATCCGCTCTTACGTTACTTTTTTTCCCTTTGCAAAGAATAGTGCCTTGCAAACCCATTGCAATCACTATTAGATTAAAATGCTAAATGAATATATGGCTCTGTATGTCTCTTTCACTAACATCTGTAATCTCTCTCAATGTGATAGCCTAGTGTTTTTTACAATATTAAATAAACATCCTTTCATATAATCAAATTCTTAGGCCTCATTTCTGACCACTGGAAAAATTTACCATGTTTGCAAACACAACACCATCATTCATATGTGCTCACTGTTGATTGTAAAATCTGTAGTCTGTTAGTCTCAATATTTCCAAGTTTAAATCAATCCATGAACAGTTTTGCATTTTCAGTTTGTTGCATGACTAATGAAATTTAATATAAGATGTGTTAAAAACTATTTCAGCATGGTGTCTTTATGTAGCTTCCACATGAGCACCAAACAAGAACTGAGAATACAGAATACAACCATTGATAATAGCAGATCTATTACACAATATCCCACTGGCTAACACTAGTAACATAAATAACATTATTATTTTACAACTAAATCACTTTTTATCCAGAAAATACTACGACACCACCAGGTCAAAAAGAAAAACTATAGATGAAAATATATATCTTTTAAAAAGTAGCACGACTTAAATGTATCATTAAAAACACACCCTTCCGAGAAGTTTCGTAATGAAACGCTGAGTGTGAAATGAGAAGACGAAAAAAGAACTGAGCAGCGCAGTCACAAAAATAAATGCGTGAATGCATGACCTTTAGTTTGTTCTTCAGTTTATATTTGACTCTCATTAAGATTGTTTTAGAACATTGTTGTATTCATGGCTGTTGAACCCCACTGGTTTCCTGACTTATACTGATCTACAGATGTTTGGTCTGATCAAGTATCTCCATTGTGTTCAGCTGATAAAATCCTTGTTTGGTTCAGTCAGTGTCTCTCTCTGCTTTCCACAAATCACAATCAAACTCCACAGACCAACTAAAACCACTGACATCAGTTGCATCGGTCACTGAAAAGATTTCAGCAAGAGATGAATTCAATACAACAATCTGAAGACTGTTACAGTACACAAATAGGTATTTCTGTGCAAATAGAGTAGCAAGTGATCAATGTAGAGCAAATGGACATTTATAAAGCAGACAACATATGAGAACACAAATGAATTCTGATTGAATGAATATAATTCTCTTTTGCAGTATTACTGTTGCTTTACTTGACATTTGTACCATTTAGAATTGATGTTTATTGTGAATGTTAAGATTTATTTAGACTAAAGGTAAAACGTTGCCTATCAGGGGTTTATGACCCATCTACATATCACCTTTCAGTCTAGGCTGCATGTCAGAAGCTTTTTTGAACTGCAGATTCAGTCATTTTAACTCTGTTCTCGTAAAGACCCTGCTGGAGCGCCAACTAGTGACCGAACACGGAAAAACAACAGTGTCAAAGGCCTTACAACTGTATAAATCTGTATATCAACAATTCACTATTTCCATGATCAATTAAAATATATATTATCGTAAATGAGTTAGCCTATATAATCACAGCCTGATCCTGTTTTGATTTAGATTCTGATTTGATCTGATGTATCACTATAGAAACCTCTGTATAGCCAGCAATATTAGGAGACTTTATAGATCTGTTCGAGGCGCTTAATTTCCTCACAGAACTTAGATTAAATGCATTTAATGTAATAGTGATGTTTTTTTTTTTGTTGTTGTTTTGTTTTTTTAACAATAGATATGTATTTTTATGGTTCATGTGTATTGTTTTTGTCTTCTTTTCTGGTTAGTATGGTCTGCTACATGACATTTTTAATGACCCTTGTGACTGAATATGAAAACACCTATTTTATTTAACCACAGTCTCAAAGGCTAAAATGGGGTTTATTAATAATCTCGATGTATCACTATAGAAACCTCTGTATAGCCAGCAATATTAGGAGACTTTATAGATCTGTTCGAGGCGCTTAATTTCCTCACAGAACTTAGATTAAATGCATTTAATGTAATAGTGATGTTTTTTTTTTTGTTGTTGTTTTGTTTTTTTAACAATAGATATGTATTTTTATGGTTCATGTGTATTGTTTTTGTCTTCTTTTCTGGTTATATGGTCTGCTACATGACATTTTTAATGACCCTTGTGACTGAATATGAAAACCAATTTTTTTTAACCACAGTCTCAAAGGCTAAAATGGGGTTTATTAATAATCTCTTTGCTTCTTTGAGTATTTGTTACTAAAATAATCAACTTTTTCATTCTATTCAACCAATGCAATGAATGTAGCCTATGTCTGAGAGTGAGACGCAGTACTGGGACCTCGTGATTCTGGTCCTGATTATTTCTTTGTCAGTTTTACTTAAAACGACGTCACATCAGGCTGTATTCGATTCAAATTCATGTTGTTCAATTTGCCTGAAGTGGCGCATTGTCATTTTATCATTGTCATCATCAAATTAATATTTGAAAGTGTGACCTCATCTCGCCTTACGTCCAACTTCCTGTACTCAGATTCAACGCCACCAGATCAGAGGTCAGTGACTTTTGTGCTTATAATGAGATTCTTCTTACAACCACTAGATGGAGCTAAATGTATTAGGTCCCAACCCTGGTCCTGGAGGCACCCCAACAACACTGCACGTTTTGCGTGCCTCCTTAATCAAACACACCTGATTCAGGTCATTAGCTCATTAGTAGAGACTTCAAGACTTGAAATTGGTGTGTCAGAGAAAGGAGACATGCAAAACGTGCAGTGTTGGGGTGCCTCCAGGACCAGGGTTGGGAACCATGGTATTAGGAGATACATCTGAATAATTGTTGGATTAATTAGCCGTTTTATTCAACAAAATTACAGAATAATTATGTTTTTACTGTGTTTATTTTTCTGAACAGATTCAGTCATGGCTGTTTAAAGTGCAAACTCTCTCCCCTTTGTGCATAATTATCTACATATCTGTTGTATCTGCTAAGATTCAGTCTACTCTGAAGATCTGAAGATCCAGGAACGTGGCTGGGAAGCACTGAACTAGCCCCCCCCTGGCAACCCCAAACTTGTTTAGTTTTACCATTTTTTTAATGTGCTTTTTTTAATATGCTTGTTTGACCTTTTGACCTTTAGTCTAAATCATTCACACAGTGACATTAAGGGTCACAAACACAACTGTGTTCTATAGTCATTAAAATGCTATATAGCAGCACAATATGATTGTTATATAAATTTGGTCTGTATGTCATTGTTCACTACTGAAAAAAAAAACTGGTAAATTTCTGGTCTTTCATGCCTTATCTTTCTCACACGTTCACATGCAAATAAGCAGAAATATCTGCACCTTTTTATATTTTGGCTCCTGAGTGCTTCCATTCCCACGAGACTGAGATGTTTACCAATGTTTGTTTGAGCAGAAGCACATTAAACCACAGTGTGTTTAAGGATTAAAGTATATCTACACTTACAGTTCTTCTCTCTCATCTGCCATCATTTGATCTTCACTACTATATTTGCACAAAATGATGTTTTGTTAATGTGAGTCATTCAGATTTTTGTATTGAACTCATTTCTTTAAAAAAAAAAAAAAAAAAGCTTTCCATGTGTTGATTCAGTGATGCAGCTGATGTCGGTGGTTTATTTGGTCTTTGGAGTTTGATTATGGTTTGTAGGGAGCATAGAAACTAAGACTGAACCAAACAACAAATTTAACAATAGAGATACTTAATCAGATCAGACATCTGTGGGTTACAGGGTTCAACAGCCATGAATGCAAAAATGTGCTAAAGTGTTATGAGAGATAAAGATCAAGCGAGCATTAGTAATATCCATCGAAATCAGATTTTGCTGGAATCTTCAACATTATGAAGATGAGTTTCAAAATCGTTGTTTTTGCTGATAATGTGCAGTTTGTGCATAAAAACTATTTTCGGTTTCACGTTGACGCCGTTCATTTGTTCACTGGCTAATGTTGTATTTTTCCTCAAGTTTATTTTCATATTAACATTGCCAGTCAGCGTCAGCGTCAGTGTCACATGCATCCAAATGCACTGTCGAAGTTCCAGATTCCAGGTTTTCTCTTTCCTGGGTGAAATTACACCTCATCAGGCAAGACTAAATGATCTCAGTTAGATAGCTGTTCACTAGCATTACAAGCAGTATTATATGAGTTTAACCCAGGCCCGGACTGGCCATCGGGAGCACCGGGAGAATTCCCGGTGGCCTGGCGGCTGATTTGGCCCTCTGCCGTTTTTTTTTTCTTTTCTTTTTTTTTTTAAGTTATTATTATTATTAATATTTTATATTTATGCCTTGTCAAGTGCAGGTCAGTTTCATCTGTAAATACGCTGGATAGTTTTGTCTTTATTAACTTAGTTGAGTATTAAACTGCTAGTATCTGTTAGGCTATCAGTAGCAACCCCATTATCATCATCATTCAGAATAGTAGCTATTTTGCTAAAGGACATCAATATCGATTGTAAAGTTACATTAAAAAAATTAAGAAAGAACCTTTTATTATTTTCCACGGCCCCAGACCAAGGATTTAGACCTTTTTATGTGATGGCCATACAAATAATAGGGTTGTCTGTGGTTTCAGAAATTGTTGTGGATGTATAGGCTATATACAGGAAAAGGGGCCAAAATCGCACCTTTTGGGGTACAACAGCTTGTCACTGGAACAGTACTCTTAA